TCATTTATGGATCTCTAGAGAGAGCATGGAGCTGCGGTGGCACAACTGGTTAAGACGCTGAACTGCAGGCTGTGGAAGGTCAGTAGTTCAGCAGTTCGAGACCCGAGTTGCCGCATGATGGAGTGAGCTCCCGTCTCTGGTTCCAGCTCCTGCCAACCTAGCAGTTTGAAAGCAAGAAATTGCAAGTAGATAAATAGGTACCACTTCGGTGGGAAGGTAACAGCATTCCGTGCGCCCCGGTGTTTAGTCATGCCGGCCACATGACCATGGAAACGTCTTCGGACAGCGCTGGCTCTTCGGCTTTGAAACGGAGATGAGCACCGCAACCCTAGAGTCGGACTCGACTGGCTTTCGAGCAAGGGAACCTTTACCTTTGCCTTTTAGAGAGGGCAAATAGAGAATTAAGATGTACCAGTTGTAGGTGAGAATCGAAATATATTCTGCTTTTTTTTGTGGGGGTTTGCTTTCTCTTTTTTCCCTTATGATTTTTCTGAATTCTATTCTCTGTGTATTTTTATGTATTTTCATGAAAAGTTTAATAAAAATGTTTAAATAAAAATACTCCAAGTTTGGAGAGTGAGGACAGTAACTGGCTACTGGGCTGTGTACCAGAGAGAGTCTGTCGACCAGCGGTACCTGTCCTTGGCCTCGATCAGCGGTACCTGTGCCAAAGACAATAAAAGGGAGCTTCCAAAACACTCTGATAACCAGACGTTCATATCCAGCATACTCTGAAATGTCAGCATGCTCTGAAATGGCAGAGCGCAGATATAAAGAAGAAGGGGGGGTTGCATGGTTTTGGCAACAGTGGTACTTTAGGACTGTCCCACTTGTCAGGGTGAGGCACTGGGAAAAGCTTCCTGTGCTGAAATTTGACTGCTGAACGTGTAGATCGTAGGGTGGTTGACTCTGAGTTGGGAAATTCCTGGAGATTTGAGGGTGGAGCATGGGAAGGGCAGAGTTTGGCGAGGAAGGGCAGAGTTTGGCGAGGAAGGGGGGGGAGCTCAGCAGAGGGGTGATGCCCTGAAGTCCACCCTCTGTCATTTCCCCATTACAGATTTTACCTCCTCCTCAAAGCCGCCAATAGCATCAAGATATAAAACACACCATGACATGGGGGAAGGAGAGTCTGCCAAAGACAATATCACAGAATGTCCTAAACCCTCTGATAACCAGAAGTTCTCATCCGACAGGTTCTGAAGAGTCAGGGTCTCTGGCCTGGCCTGCTAGAGCCCAGATATGAAGAAGAAATGGGGTTCTTGTGATTTCGCCAGTTGTGAGACCATTTCGATCCCGGGTGAGTTTGAAGCGTCGCCCCTCGTCTGGTTAAGGAGCGGCAATAATTCATTCTTTAATGTTATCTTGGCTCCAGGTTAAATGCTCTTGTGTGGTTGTACTGACATTCTGAGGAAGGATCGAGATGACAAATCTACTTGGGATACTCCTCAGAGACAGAATACAGTCTTCACGCAATGTGATGACGGCAAGATTTGCATCTGCGGGTTTTCTACCGCATACTGTTGCCATGCAGCCACTTCAGATGCCATTATTAAAGACTCTGTAACATGACCAGAGGTTGATTCGGGGGGGATCGCCATTTCCCCAGGTGAGGTGCGGGGGCAGGGCACATGACGAAGCCCCGCCCCCTGCTTCCAGCCGCCCCTCTTCCGGCCCTCATTCAGCCAGGAGGAGGCAGGAGAAGAGGGAGGGTAAGTTGCTTCCTCCCTGCCTCTCCCCACCCCTGCCTGCCTGGGGCCAGGGAGGGCCTTCGCGGGGCTTCCTAGCACTCCCGCCGGCCTTGGAGGTCCACCGCCGGGCCCCTCATGGGGCTCAGCAGTGGAGCTGCAAGGCTGGTGACGGCGGCCGGGACCGTTGGGGGTGGGGTGTGTGGCCTTATGACACACTTCCGGTGATGTCATGGGGTGTGGCATATGCTAATGAGTTATGCTAATGAGTTCCCCTAGCTCTTTTTCTACGAAACGACCCCTG